GATCCACAGCGAACAGACTGAGGCAGCTTACGGGTCGCTCCAGGAGCTCCACAGAGAGTTGGGAACGTCTCACTTCAACGTCCTGGCCTTTCCCTGCGGACAGTTTGGTGACACAGAGCCCGGAACCAGCAGTTACATTGAAGCGTTCGCCAAGTCCACCTACGGCGTCACCTTCCCATTCTTTGGCAAGATCAGAATAATGGGCTCCGAGGCCGAACCGGCCTTCAAATTCCTCACAGGTACGAGCACGTGAACGCACCATGTCACTGTCTATTTGTTTCATGAATGGTTAACCTCGTCTGAATAAGTAACACTAACACCAAAAAGAACACTTGAATGCGGTCTGGCTTTAAAAGAGAAGATAATTTGCAATTTTGTGTTTACCGGTAGTAAGAAACATGAAGTCGACGCACATGATTTGCCTTCAGGGGCCACCTAAAATGTCGTGGCAGGCCGTATCTGGCCCCTTGGCCTTAAGTTTGACACCTGTGCTCTGTATGGACCGATTATTTTAGATATCTGAAAGTATATGCATACTGCATTACACAAGTCAAACCTATACTTAGAATTCGGGGGGGAAGTTTTTTTTTTAATGTACATTTGTATCAAAAAACTAAATCTACTTCTGCCTGCATATATTTTTATTATTTTGTTGTTTCCATCGATCTATTCGCCGTACAGCAAAGTAGTTCATTGTACGCCATTCGTAACTTAAAACATGTCTGGACCATCGTAAACCAAGGAGCCCCTGTATTGTTGTTTGTACCATTCCTTTTAATCTTGCACAATATATCTTTATTCTCTAGATTCCGTGCAGAAAATTCCCAAGTGGAACTTTTGGAAGTTTCTGGTGAATCCTGAGGGCAAAGTGGTGCGCTTCTGGCGAGCAGAGGAGCCCATGGAGAGCGTTCGCCAAGAAGTGGCGGCGCTGGTGCGGGAGATCATCGTAAAAAAGCGTGCGGAGCTATGACGGTGTTTATTCAGAGTTACTGATTGGACACGCAACCTAATCCTGTCCTGTGCCATGACGACCAGGATCAGCAGGACTGAACTGTTAGGCTACATTGAGCGTGGTTGGACCATGACTCCAAACAGTGGGATGATCAAACATTCATTTTTAGATAATAGCAGCAATGTGTGGCAAGTAACAATGTATGTGTGCATGTGTACGGCCATTGGATTGGATGAAAAAAAAATTACAATCATGAATTTTCCTAGACCACTGATGGATGTTTAGCCACTAAAGTGTTACATTTAATGATGCCTCAAGCTCTTCTTTGAAACACCTCAACGAAATGTTTGTGTTTTTAATTAAAATGTATTTCTAAATCAACACATTATCTGTGATTTGTATATTCTGTACAGCATTACTTATACGTATAATTTGTGTAATGGAAGATTCCCTCTTGGAGGTATTGATGGTAATGCTGCAAATAGTGATGATTCGTACCTTTTGTTTCCTTTCAGCATCATGGATTCAACGGGGTAATTTCACTTATCAGGTAAGGTATTTATGTCACCATTTGATAATCGTGTTTTTAATCCTTCAAATGTTTATGTATAAAGTTCGAACCACAGAATTTGAATTTTTTTGTGGCTCAAAGCAGGGAAGTCAGGACCATAAGATTGGATAGCACACGCAACCGCTTCCACCATGAGTCACATTTATACCAGCACACATGACAAAGATAAAGGCGCGTTGATGTTATTCAGTTGTCCTGCTACAATATGAGCTAATTACAATTTTATTTAAATTACAAATTTTAATAACTTATCCAAAACTGTCGGAGCCAAGTTAGTAAAGTAGTGACCAAAGCAAAAATCAGAAAAGGTAAGCAGATGCTATTGAGAAAAATGTATTGGGACACCTGGCTATTATATAAAGTGTAAACAAAAGACGACCTAGTCCAGGTCTTTGCCAACTTCTCCGAGCATGCATTTGTGAAATTTGCTTTGTGCAAAGATAACACATTTAAGGGCTTTGCCCAAACTGTCCCCACAAAGTTGGAAGCATAAAATGGTGGTCCAACCCAAGGCATACTGTTTGTCTCAATCCTTGTTCATAGAGTGTATTGTTATTTTAGGGCTGCAAAAATTCATTGAGTTACTCAAATACAGTAATCCCATGATTGTCTCGGGGATTACGTTCCAGTCCATCCCTGAAATAAAATAAGTATCGTAATGACCAAGTTTTTACAATACAGGACATATATGTGAGGTTATTACAATTCTGAGAATGGCTAAATGATTATCCTGTTACCAGCTTGCCAACTCTACACTCATTCAATGACACCCACATCACTCACCAGATCAGGACCAGCCTTTTAAAGCCACACTCAAAGTAATTGATATTCAATTAGAATGTGAGAATGGTGACCCAGAGTGGACAAAAATCATATCTGTACCTAACATTCACACGTTATTGTGTTTGAGCATACAAAATAATTTTTAGCAGATTATTTAGTTGAACACTGGGTTAGTTGGTAGAATCCTCAATTTAAAAAATATTAAATAGCTGGTGCCCTACTGTTTTTATTTCATACTGAAAGGGGATATGTTCTAAAAAAAAATATTTTTATGGCTTGCATATAAATAGTTTGGGTGGAAAAGCCAAAAGCCTAGTATGTCTCCTTTAATTGTTTCACAGTCAAAAGCTTGTTGCCATGGTACTTATAACGAAACAGGCACTCTGTAAATGCAGTCGTGTGTGTTGGTGTGAACAGTCGTTGGGCAGTCACAGGTAAGCTGGCAAGCAACAACAAACCAGCTAACAAGACACTGCCTCACGACCATCCACAGTCGTGACAACGGGGGACCTGTTTAGATATGATTTAAAACGACATCACAACCCTGTTTGTAGACATATGCATTAAATAATTCCGTAGTATTCAACTACATGCAGGGTATAGGGAATGAGCTATGCCACAAAAAAAAAAGCAATTGTTAATTGGTGATGAAGATTCTAAAATTACCAACAACCCAGCCTTAATTTAGGGGTTTGGCGCCGCCTTGTGGCATTTTAGTGTGTTTCAGAAAGCACAAAAAGGCAAATGGGTGACCTTTTTCAGCAAAAGGCTGTAAATAGGTGAATTCCAAAATTAAAAATAGGTCAATATGTGAATCGTAAATCTTAAATACACAAGGATTACTGTATAATATGTAAAAGCATCCCAAACCTACATTAGGTTTGCTCTACAAATGTTCAGACCGCAGAGCAACTCCAGCTAACATTGCACTGCTTCCTTACCATAATGCAAAAGGTGTGTGCATGTGTGTGTGTGTGTGTGTGTGTGTATGTATAATATGTAAAAGCATCCCAAACCTACATTAAGTTTGTTCTACAAATGTGAAGACCGCAGAGCAACTCCAGCTAACATTGCACTGCTTCCTTACCATAACGCAAAAGGTGTGTGTGTGTGTGTGTGTATGTGTGTGTGTGTGTGTGTGTGTGTGTGTGTGTGTGTGTGTGTGCACGACCTCCACTTGAATGGTTTGTTTGGGTGTAAGCTATTACCTGGAAAGGATAGTTTCTCCTCCTTCCTGCCACATCCTGCTGCATTCTTCTCTTCTTAGCCTGCACACCGAACACAGAAAAATTATCACTCTTGTTTATAAGGACAAGCTAAAAAGTTAGTCACAGATCATCATAATTTGTTCCTTGAAAACATATATTGCCTTCTTCAGGATGTGGGAAGGGGCATAATGCTCTAAAGATGTAGACAATGATCAATTATTTACCCTCCATAATTTTGGAGGAAAATTGGTATCATTTGTAGAAAAGAGTGAATCAATATCATCGCATATAGCTGTAACATTTGTCACATTAAATGTATTAAGGTAGTGGGAAATGACATTGTACAGTGTAATGGTCAACTTGCAAAAAATGTTCATGTTTTAACTTTGTTTCAATTGATGTATTACCTTAGCCTGCACACCGAACACAGACAATGATCAGTCTTACATATAAGATATAACAGATCATCATAATTTGTTGCTTGAAACCAAATTTTGCCTTCTTCAGGATCTGGGAAGGGGCATAATGCTCGAAAGATGAAGACAATGTTCAATTATTTACTCTCCATAATTTGGGAGGAAAATTGGTATTTGTAGAAAAGAGTAAATCAATATCATCGCATATAGCTGCAACATTTGTCACACTAAATGTATTAAGGTAGTGGGAAATTACATTGTACAGTGTAATGGCCAACTTGCAAAAAACTGTTCATGTTTTAACTTTGTTTCAATTGATGTATTAATTTTACTGACCTATGACACATGATTCACAAACTCAATGTCGTTTTTTTGAATCTGCTGACATACAAACTTACATAAAAAATGCATACCGTACTTTGATCTAATTTCATTTGAACTCATTTCGTTTGTATTTTACACTCATTAAAAAAGAAATAGATATTTATGAATATCGATAGACGTGCAAACATATCGACATAGTTTTAAAATTTAAGTTTTGAACCACTCACCCATGCAACGTGTTTCTCGGCCTTCCAGACTCGTCGTCCGTCGTATTTTTTTTTTTGTCTCGTCTTCTCAGCCTGGTCGAGGCGGATGGCTGGCACCCTCCTGACTCTGCTGCACCTGTTGTGTGTTGTCTGCTCTTTCCTGGACAGCCGAAACATGATTCACAAACTCAATGTCGTTTTTTTTAATCTGCTGCCATGCAAATTTACAGAAAAAATGCAGTTTTATCTAATTTCATTTGAACTCATTTCGTTTGTATTTTACACTCTTAAAAATAAATAGATATTTATGAATATCGATATTCGCACAAACATATAGACAACGTTTTAAAGTAAGTTTTGACCCACTCACCCATGCAACGTGTTTCTCGGCCTTCCAGACTCGTCGTCCGTCGTTTTTTTTTTGGTTTTTTTTTTGGTCTCGTCTTCTCAGCCTGGTCGAGGCGGATGGCCGGCAGCCTTCTGACTCTTCACCTGTTGTGTGTTGTCTGCTCTTTCCTGGACAGCCCTTTGTTTTCAAATAAAGGCAAATGAGGACGCTAGATTATATTTTTCATATGTTATGTCCGTATTTATATTTTAATGAAACACATTTTACATAATTATACAACATATAATTACACTTTAATTTTTTGTCGTATTCCACAGCCTCGTTCTGGAATTTTCATTCATAATTCAAATTTAGTGTCGGCGTATTTGGGCATTGCAGGAAAAGCTGCGTATATGATGTTTCAGTAGGGAGCCTTTGTTTGCAAATAAAGGCAGATGAGGACTCTAGATTATATTTTGATATGTAATGTCCGTATTTATATTTTAATGAAACACATTTTACATAATTACACAACATATAATTACACTTTCATTTTTTTGTCGTATTTCACAGCCTCGTTCTGGAATTTTCATTCATAATTCAAATTTAGTGTCGGCGTATTTGGGCATTGCAGGAAAAGCTGCGTATATGATGTTTCAGTATTTTAAAGTGTGTCGCGGTTAATCTGTAGTACGGTTGATTTGCTTTATTGTGGCGTGTCACGAGGTGAAGTCAAAGTTATCAGGGTTGAACAATGGACGCGCATTGCGCCACGGGGCCGCCTCGCGACTCACAACATATAATTACACTTTCATTTTTTTGTCGTATTTCACAGCCTCGTTCTGGAATTTTCATTCATAATGTCGGCCTACTCGCGTATTTGGACATTGCAGGAAAAGCTGCGTATATGATGTTTCAGTATCGGGGCTGTGGCGCTTAAGTGGAGTGAAAGGCGCGAATGAGGGTGCGCGCGCTCTTGCCACCTGCCACTTCCATATGTGCCCCATTTGTAGTACAGTTGATTTGCATTCTTGTAGTGTGTCACGAGGTGAAGTAAAAGTTATCAGGGTTGAACAATGGACGCGCAGTGCGCCACGGGGCCGCCTCGCGACGCGGGGCTGTGGCGCTTAAGTGGACTGAAAGGCGCGAATGAGGGTGCGCGCTCTTGCCACCTGCCACTTCCATATGTGCCCACCCGTGGCGTGCACGAGCCCTGACACACGCTGGCTTAGTGTGTTGTATTGGTTTTTTTTTTTCTTTTCAGTTCCGACCAGCTCAAGTAGGTTTTGTAACGTTACAGTAACTGTTTGGAAGCCAGCTGTGGTCCAGCACACAACTGACATTCAGACAAAATAAGCATTTGAATGGTTGTTGGGGTTTTTTTTCGTTTTTTTTTTTTTGTTTGTTTTTGACGGGTAAAGGTAAAGTTTACTGTAAATGTGTATGAAAATGATCTATTAAATTGATCAAATATATTCACTCATTCATTCATTTTCTGATCCGCTTTATCCTCACAAGGGTCGCCGGGATGATCAAATATATTTGAATTAATTAATAGCATTATTTTGTTTATATGTTTGTAAATTTTTTGTTGAATTTAGAATTTACTATGGGTACTATTTAGTGCCTTTTAATGCGTGCGTGTGTTTATTATTGTTTATTTTATTGTCATTTACGTGGCTATAGCAACTGTAATACACAACACACTTAAATTAATAACCATTGTATCGCCATTTTTATTTTCGTTTTGTTTTTAAATTAATTCCAATTCCAATTCTTGTTTTTTTCACATGTTTGCTGTGGTTGAATGCCCGTATCTTTTTACTGACAGTGCTTCCCGCGGAATTCCGGCTGCTTCGCACCCCCAACTCGCTGGTTTGCTTTGAGTCTCCTTAGAAACCCGTTGTGTAATGTGTGTGAGTATAGTTTTCCCCTCCGGCACGAGCCCCCGCAGTTTGGCGCTTGCTTTAAGCGGTCAAATGTGTCACGTGCAGCTTAAAAAAAAAAAAAAAAAATGAATAAAGCTCGGCCCTACTTTGGCCTGCAGGACCTGCTGTCGGTGACAAACACATTTGTTTGCATGCAGCCAAATAAGGTGGAGCATGCACTCGGCTCAAAGCTGCCTACCTCATATTACTTGGAGAGTGAGATTACTGTAGAGAGATGATAGACAAACTGATTGACAGACAGATTGATTGACCCATAGAATGAGAGATAGACAACAAGCCGATAGACTGATAGATAGACACATATACCCTATGTGACTGCAAATAATTGAGATAAATCAGCTAATATTTGAAAGATAGATAGATGCTTTTGTTAATCCAATGAGGGAATTTATTGATTCATAATGAAGTATTCATACTCCGAAATAATAACAGGACTGCACATGAATCTTCAAACAATAAATACTGAAATATCCGATAGGATCTCTGTATCATGATTCAAAATAAATATCCTCCTCCCACATTCCAAGAAATATGCATATCAGGTTCATTGAAGACTCTAAATTAGGGGTCACCAACTCCGGTCCTCAAGGCCTCTATCCTGCATGTTTTAGATGTTTCCCTCCTCCAACATGCAAATGATCAGGATCTGGCCTTCTGGTCTTGAGTTTGATACGGGTGATTTAGCCACAGAGACTCATGCTGTTTGTGTACAAAGTTAAAATGTGAAAAACAAGGATGTAAAGAAGGATGTAGAGCGCAATGCATCATGACACAGTGGCCTTTCCCAGACCACACAGTCAACCCAGAAGACTGAGAGACAAAAGGAAAGGAAGCCCGTGCACCTCAGAGGTCACCGGGTTACATTTGTTTCACTGCTCAAACAAGCAAAGTTAGCACACAAATCATTTATTTACGTTAAGTCCCTCGTTTCACAATAAAATCCCATCCAGTGTTCAAGTGGATGATCCAAACTGCAAAATAACATTAAAAAAAAGCCAAGTAAACATTGACAAAAGGACAGTGTTTGGCTTGAGATAATTACATTTGCAGGCATGTAAACAGCATCGCAATGCTAACAAATATCCGGGCAGTGTTGTGTCCTCTGACTGATTAGCCTACAAGCTACCTGAGGAAGACATCATGTAATCATTTACCAATATCACTGCAGATTACAAGTTAAGCATTAACATTATTTGCCCACCCACACTTCCTTTACAGTTGTGATTTATTTATTTATTTTTCTGGGGCTCTTAATTGTGGTTGGGAACCCAGCGGAAGCGAAACCCACCAAGATGGGTGCCTGAGGTGAAAGCCCGGCCCTGAGGGAACACACGTGTTCTTATTGTGCAGTGCTCTTTAACAGAAGTACAGAAAGACGACGCATCCTCTTCTGCGTTGCTGCTGCCGTCATTGCATATGGAGGTCTGCAGGCCAGAGAATGCCCCGTACATGGGGATCGTGTCTTTGTCCCACCGTGGCACGCTCCCACGGGCATTCGTGTGCAACACGGCATCGCAGCGCTTGCTGACGTCTTTCAAGATCTCCTCCACCAAGTCAGGGGACCCCCAGCCGTCGTCCAGTCGCTGCCTCTTGCGGGGACTTGTGGATTTATCGCCGCAAGGCCTTGCCGGTTCGCTGGTATCTGGCTCCCTGTCTGCCATTAGTTTCTAATAGAGGACACATGAAGGGCTACACGTAAAGATGTGTCAAATTCAAGGCTTATGCGCCAGATTTTGTCCCACTAAAGTAAATAATGTGTCTTATGTCCAGCCAACTTTGGAAGACAGGTGGACTACACCCTAAAGTGGTCGCCAGCCAGTCGCAAGGCACACATTGAGACGAACAACCACTCACGACCACTGAGCGGGAACCAATCCCATGCTAACTGCAATCAAGTCAGGCAAGTGTACAATGACACCATCAGTGACTTAAAACATAAAGGAATAACATCTTTAAATCAAGTGTAAACAATTAAAGCATTTGTCCATCATGATTTAATTCTGCAATCTGATTTATTGTGCTGCTCCTTCTCATGTGCTCGCCTTGGCCACTGGGAGGCAGTATAATATAGTCATGCAAACACAAATGAAGAAAGATACGACAGGTAATACTAAGACTAATACTATTAATACTGTGACTTAGTAAGATGATGTCATATCAGCCATTTTTTTGTGAACGGTAAAGATTTTTGTTGTTGTTTTTTGGGGGGTGGCCCTTGGAATGGATTAATCGCATTTCCATTAATTTCAGTTGGCAAAGATGATTTGAGTAATTTTCATTATGATCCTGGTCAAGGATCAAATTAAATTAATATCTCTAGGCACCACTGTACTACATTACTGTCCAGTATCTTCTTTACATTCTGTGCCTTCAAAATGTGTTACAATGTCTTTAGATATGTTTGCGTCAGTTGACGTGTTTAAACCATGTGGATGGCCTAAAATTATTATTTTTTGAAAAACAACAGTTTCACATGTGGTCTCTCGCGATCATAGTTTTCATCCACGGAGGCGTATCTCCGTGTGGAGTCCTCTTTAGTGTTTTGTGGTTTCCACCAAACATTTTTCACACACCTCCAGCACAGACGCGAGGAGCTTTGCTTGGCACGCAAGCTGCCTCAGGTGTAGGTTCTTCTCCTCAGATGGGTCACTTTGTCTTTTGCGCAAAGTCTCAGGCACCTGCGGGAAATTGGGATGTGATCAGATAGCACTTCAAAATCCACTTCATACCCACGTCAATGCATTTTTTGTGAATTAAACAGGTTTCCCAATATGCCCACATATCGCATATTCAGGAGAAATCACTGAACCGATTCTGATGGATCACAAGCCCTGATTTTACTGATCGGTAATAACTTCTCTCGACTCATAAATAACGACCCACCTTATTGGCCTCCATAGCACCTCCCATCCGGGCTTGACATGAACTGAAACTCGTCCATAGTAAACCATCCTGGTCATGTGTGCAGGAGGAATTGGGAAGCGTGAAGCCTTCCTCTGGAGAGAAGACATGCTGAGGGGTGAGGGGAGGTATGTCGCAGCCCTGAAAGGGGACCAGCTCTGCAGGGTACAGGCTGCTCTCGAGAGTGGCCGGAGAATCTGTCAGAAATTTAGTGTCGCCATCGTTATTGCTGTTATTACATTTCTCCATTGATTCAATCCATTCCAACTTGAAAATAGGACCTCGCTCAGGAAATCTATTACTTTCCGCATCCACAAACGTTTTTTTCTCATTCCAACTTCAAAATTGACCATTGTGGTCGCTATTTTCCTAATTACAATAATTCCCCACATTCCAAAAAATGTCACACTTGTCACAGTAAAATATCTTTTAAACTCAATTTTAAAATATATTTGATATATTTACCACCTCCTTCCATATTTCTTGAAAAATTCAAGCCATTCCAGCTTCAGACATTTTGATTCATTCAGAATATCTTGGAAACTCTTTTCCACATCATAATCATGCAAACATTTGTGAAAATTTTTCCAATCGAATTCCCCTAAAGGTAGTTTATACGGCTTACATATTTATTTCCTCCTTTCACATTTCTTGATTGACTCAAACCATTCCAACTTCCAACTGTTTATCTCAATTAACCCAGAGGAACTTATTCTCCACAGTCCAATAATTCTAGAATCTCTAGAATTCCACACTTTTTGCAGTAAAATTCACAAATTTTCACAAAAAAATGCACAAATTTAAAATATATTTATATAAGTTATATAAGTTACCTCCTCCTTCCGCATTGTTTACCCATTTCAAACCAGTGCAACTTCCAATTATTTTTCATAGTACAGTAATTCCAATTTTTCTTACCCCTTCCACAATCCTTGATTTCAATAATTCCAATTTCAAGTCACACATTCTACATTTCAACAAATCAATTGCACAGTATTTCAAGTGAGCATCAGGTTTCTGTAGTCACGTGCAACTATGACAGAAATTATATTTTCAAGTTATGGTTACTTTGCTTACCTGCCACAAAATCCAATGCAAAGTCCCCAAAGTCTCGCTCACCTCCATCACATCCATTTACCTGTTGAAAAAAAGTAACTTAATATGAGGAACATGCATGTTTAAGATGCACCCACCCGAAAAAGTAATCTACCTGAGTGTCCCACCAATGTGGCGGCTGCACGGATACACTGGCAATCATGATTTGGAGAATGAGCGTGATGCGTTCAGGGCACTGAGGCAAAAGTAGTGTTTTTGTAGTCTGACTTACGACGCTATTTGTGCAGGATTCCAGCGCACCTTGTCAAACATTAACAGACTGAGAGTGATGCGCAACTGCATGTATATCGGCCTCCCTATTTTTTTCCCTCTCTTAAACGTGCAAACAGAGTCATTAACCACAGCAAGGAAAAAAAAGTGGTTCTAAAAAATGAGTTTCTCTCCTACCTGTGACCTCAGTGAGTCGCTCTCTTTTCCGGTGCAGTCTTCTAAATCATCCCATGCAATTGTTGGAAAGGCTTTTAAAAAAAGAGAGTAACCACGAGTCATTCATTTGTTTATTTAAGTGCATCAAAAGCAAAGTGGTGCCTGTAAGGATGCGTAAACCTTGCTCAATATTGCAGGGCAGCTCCACATAAACAGTGACCGGACTGCTGCTTCTGGGCACCTTATCCTGCAGCAACTATAGAAATATTTTCGAGTTTGGATCCGCATTTTTTTTTTTTTTTTTTGCGCTACAATTTAAGGCACCGCATTCCATACCTTGTCAACGTGACGTGGGATCCTCCCTCCCCTGTGAAACGCGTCAGCAAACACGCTTCTCTCACCGTGCATCTTCATCTCTCCATTTTCTGTTTGCGCGATTCCTCGGGTCATTTAAGGCCACATTCTCCCGGTTCTTGGCGCGGATTCACGTTGCGGCCCAATCAAATGGACGTATTAAGGTCGTCTCCAGGGACTGAAGGCGTCCTCGGAGATTGAGCTGGAGGGGGACTAACGGTCTTTCTGGGTTGGAGTGGGGAAGTGCAGGAGCGCGCGCAAAGGGCGCCTTTGCAGCGGCTCAGTCAGGGCGGCCCACCTGCACTCCACTTGAGTCAAAATAAAACGCAACGCCTTTGGTTTGCACTTCAGTATCCATCAGACCGTTGTCAAGATACAAAAACGTGCGTTTACGGCCATTTCCCGAAGCAGCCACAATATTCCTTGCGTAAATTTCTGGTAGCGGTGTAAACCTACTGTAGTATCTGTTTCTTGTATTGGTGTGACGTCATAGAAAGGGGAGGAGCCAGGTTGGGGGAAGATTGGCTCCGGTAGTCAGTCTGAGTGTAGAGTGCATGGGCGTGAGTTGTGGCTAACAGCAACTCCTTTGAATGCGTGTGTTTACTGCCTTACTTGTTTATTAAATACCGACGAATTGTATCAGCGACTGCGTGCATCCTTCTCTCCGCTATTGAAGGGCATTACAATACGCCGTTATATTATTAATTATTATCATTTTAGCATTAGTTCAGCGTCATATTATTTCATGTTAAGATTTCCTAACTTACATCCTGTTGTTTAATAATTACTTAGATATGTTTTTACATTGATGGCTTCTGATTGGCTGAAGAAAAGGAAAGCAGGAAGTGATTTTAGTTGCGAAAAGTGCGTTCCCGATCGTGCTTTTAAGCTGCGTTCAAACGGAATCCCTCGCCTTTTTGCAGTTTCGTAAATTAGAGCCATCCATTAAAAACAACGAACCCCCCAACTTACAGTGGTATAAACAACAATTTTTAATCACGATTATCCCAGTATATGTATTTTTTCACGCGTAAGCAGAAGATGAGTTCAAGGCCAGTAGAAGTGCAAAAGGAAAAGGGCAATTAATTGCGACGCTTGGTCAACACGAGTCGTGACAATTGCCTTTCCACGAACAAACAACAAGAGGAGAAGTGCAGTGGGCCCTTCACGCTGAATGCACCTGTGTGGTCGACACTGTGTCAGCAGGTCGAGCTGCCACGCGTAATGGATTAGCGAGATAAAGAGCCTCCCTGGGCGCCTATAGGTCACCGTGGAAGAATACAACACCAAATGACAACGTTTACAACTGAAGAATAATTTAATTGAAGTATTCATGTCCGCTCCGCGAAGATTCAGCACGCTTTACTACTTCAGGATAGGTTAAATGTGCCTTAAAAGTATATTTTCTACATGCGTAAAATGAAATTAATTCCAACAATGGACTATTATTTGCCAACCTTGTTTTTTTTTTTTCTTCATTGGCCCTAATCCTCTTCCGTATTAAAAGCATAATTTCTTTGATAAATTGGTTTCAATGGTAATAACAAAAAAGTGTTCAGGCGTGGTTCAACTCAAGAAAGTGAATGAAGTGTTCGGACGTGTTTTATATAGTGAAAATGTGGTGAAAAAAATTGGAATTCATGGTTTACTGAATGTGATGTATGTTTGCAAGAATTATTTGTTTTCGGCCTGAATGTGTTTATTTTTGCTTTAATGGCATTCCAATTTCCGAAATTAAAATTTAAAAGCTGCATCATATTTCTTTAATGTAATTATTTAAAATGAGTGACACATCTCTGCCCCGTTGAATAATATCTGGCAATATCATGTTTAAATAACTCATTCATTCATACAAACAACAATTACTCCAAATTTATTTCATATTTAAAAAGAACCTTTTCCTGCAAATGTTGATCCCTCCTTCTTCGCAGACATCCCAACACATGATATGAACGACAATGACTCAAATAAAAACAATGTAAAAATACTGAAATGAAAAAGGCACAGCATATGCAGTGTTCCCCATCCTTAACTGAGCGAAGGCACATATTTTACATTCGAAAAATCTCATGGCGCGCCACCAAACAAAAATGTCACAAAAAGCATGAATACTAAAATATTTATAATCTCAGCTCATTTTACTCACAAATGCACACAGTGAGAAATGTCTTGTTTCGCTGAGCACGATATTATTTTGAATGATGACAAGTGGATACACACACACACACATAGGTGTACCTTCTGCCAACTATAGCGGAAGACCATTTACAGTAATTGATCTGCCTGTCATTACACATCAATGGCTTCGATGGTTAACAAAGATACATTTGTTGTTGTAAATAGTAATAATTATCAGATCTGTCACAGAACACTTTTGTGCCGCAGCTTTGGAATCACTGTTTAATGTTTCTCAGTACTTATCGCACCACTTGGTATTCTCGAACAAGGAGCTCAACAACAGTGGCGGGCGTGCAATAGGGAGAGAGCCAAGGAGGCAGGACCCCCCCCCCCACCTCCACCCTCTTTATGTTTAAACAAATGCATCTCCACTCAGTGACTCCTTGTTCAGTGCGGCCAGAAGCTTGAGATTGCCTCTGCACTCCTGAGCCAAACTGCTGTCTGCTTTGTCATGGTCGCTGCCACACTGATCCTTCATCGTGCTGTCCTGTAATTCATCCTCCGGCCGGCATCTGACGTGTTCAACTTGGAGTAACTCAAGTGCGAGGGTCAGCGCGCAGCTGGCCGTCAGAGATGGAACATACTTATTGAAGGAGTAGTCGGCAAGGCTCAGCTCACACACCTTTTGGGCCAGGCTGCTGCATCGCTTCACAGGCACATTGGCGGCATCCATGTGGTTGGCGTGGTAGTCCAAGAAGAAGGCCAGGGTGGGCGCGCCCAGCCGGAAGTGGAGGCGCACCAAGATGAGACGCTCCAGGTTGAAGAGCTGCTCCCTGGTGAAGGTGTCGCAGCACAGGGACAAGAGATGACTGATGCTGGGAGAGCACACCTCCACCTGGGAAAGACACATTTGACCAACCATCCAGGATAGTGGTTCACAAAATTTTAAAACAAGTGGGCTACCACCAGTATAACAAACATTAGGGGCTCTGTTTTCGTAGACAGCGTACCTGCGCTATGGCACAAATGCTGACATACCACATTTTTAGAATCATCGCAAGGCTCGCTGCGCATTTGCCAATCTGGCAGACTGTCCTATGCCAAGCCGGGTTTTTCTTGGAGATGCACACAGCAGAGTGACAATTATTGGCAGAAAGTTGGCCAAAGCTTATGCTTACTAAGACGACATGTAAATCCTGGCACAGCTGGCCTAACGCGATTTGGGTGAATTTGGGGCACTGGCAGATCTAAAGGGAATGAGAGGAGAAGCTTTGATTGGCCTTCATTTAAATTCAACTATGACCACTCCCACAGCAGTGCAGCACTCCCTCTCGCAGATCCACTGCCCTACGTATTTGATGTAGAAGGCAAATACAAATAGCACCTATATCTATGTATGGAGTGGATGGATGGATAGATAGATAGATAGATAGATAGATAGATAGATAGATAGATAGATAGATAGATAGATAGATAGACAGATAGATAGATACCATTAAACCTTGTGTAAGTCCTTTGAAAACCGGTGGCCCCCGGTGCCCATGACTTTTCATATGCTGTTTAAAATGGAAACGCGTTTGTTCTTACAAATACCTTTTTGCTGGCAAGGAGCAGTGCCGTGACACCCAGAAGTTGGAAGCAGTCGGCGGCCACTGGCGTGCATGCCAGGAACCTGTCCATGATGTTGACGGTCAGGCAGCAGCACTCAAAGGACAGGCGGAAGTGCTTGTGCACCGGGATGAGCCAGCTGACAAGTTTGCAGCGAGCCTCAGCAGTCACCTATCAATTAATCAACGTTATTTACATAATTGGGACTACCGAACGAATTGAAGTTAGGGCATCACTGTTTTTTAACACATGTATCTGTACTGCCGATTTTGTCCATCTGTCTCTTTTACAAAATAAATGTGGTCCTAATTTGAGGACAAAATGTCTCCTCCTCTGCACTTGAACCTACTTGTGGCTGGAGAGCAAGACTTTTGCACGGGTAAAACAGCGCCTCCCTCTCCTTCTGAATCTTGTAGCCGACATCACCGTACTGAAGGTACCAGTTGGAAGCTTGATCTGCCGGGTCACCCTCCGGTTCGTCCACACACGGAGGTGACGAAGCTGCCCCGGTATGAGGAGTGGGAGAACCTGCCAAATCATCCTCGAAACCCGAGTCACTCAATCTGGACACAAGTTTTTGTTTCCGGTACCGCTCGACCCGGACTCGTACGGAGCCATCACCGCCCCGCTTCACGAGCACCATCTCCGGCGTGCGTCAGATGCACCCGAACCCAGACGGAGGCCGGAGTTTACCCAGTGGAAAGTGAAGGGGGAGTCGCCCTTTCCCGGGGTCTTCCCCGCTTCTCTCGCCTCGTTACCATAGCGACGAGAGCCCGACCAAAACAATTGAAGTTGCCTGTCTCAATTAGTTCTTCACACAGAGGCACCATATGTCAAACACTTAACCCGGGCTACCAATTGGAGGAGTAATTAAAATAATAATTACAGTAATTAAAATATAATAATACAATAAAATCACATCGAAAGCATTTGTCACGACAAAATGTCATAATACTTTTGCGGTTTTAAAAAGATTGCCAATTTTAACATTGTGTTTTCTCATTTATTTCGTTATTTATTCATTTATTAGACATGATGTCATGTTTATTTGGAAACAAAACCGTGAGCTGTTTTTGTTTTATTTTGTTTTGTTGTTTTTGCTGTGGTGGGCGGAACACGAAGCTGCTTGTCCCGCCGCTGCAAAACAGGCAAGCCGGACACTTTCACAAAAGTCAATGCCGGAGCGGCGTTGAAAAACAAAGTCTGGCCCAGAAACCAAGCTTCAAGTATGTCATTTGTCCACATTTTAAAGGTACGGAAGTTACCTTTATAACTACGAAGTAGTAGTGTATTGCATTGTGCTGTCGTCGGCGTACTTACGCGCTGAATAGTTGAACAGAAAAACCGTGCAAAACATAGCTAGCATTAGTGGCTAAGTAGGTTAGCTAGGTGGCTTAGCTTTGGATGCTACACGGCTAACAGCGGCGTTAACCGTGATTGGCGATATCATAGTCCGCTTAAGATGGGTTATTCCTGTGCTTCTTTGCACGTTTAGCAAGTTTGTGAACCTTCAACTCATGGAAGAAGAAGCAAAAGTCAGAAGCAGAAGTAGAAGCATTGCGCACATGCTGGCATGCTAGTCCACGCTAACGCCATGACATAATCTCTTGTAAGAAGTCTGTAAGGAGATCTTGGATTCTTGGTTGGGGCTGCGTTTTTTTTTCCCCGACCCTTAAC